ACGCTCTCCTTGCGTGGCAATCTCGAGCAGTTGCTTAGCCCGATCAACAGAGCATCGTGCGGTACGCATATGGCCTCGATGAATAACAACAGCCCCATAAGCTTCCAAAGCTCCGGTACCTCGGACAGTGTCAATCTCAACAATCCCTTGATGTGAAAGACGCAAGACAACAAGAAGCCGACCTTGCATGAATCGACGAGCAAACAATTGCAGAACCCGAAAATCCTTTTCGTGGTCTGGGTAAATGCAATCGTGAGCATTATGTCGTACGAAGGCTTCGCTCAGGTCACGGGCTCTCTCCCACGCCGTAGGCAGATCCGCTTCGAATGCCAATTTAAGGCAACATGCAGACAAAGGCACTGTCGCATTTCTTCAGCTCTCTCGCTGCCTAGCTGCAGGGAGACCCTTAAATCTTCGGGAAGAGTTAGTTTGTCCTGGGCATCAAGGATGCCAAGGGGCGGAACGCCCTCCCACAAGGGATGGCTGAAAGTTATCTGGCCCTTGCCAATCCCATCCGCCCAAGAGAAAGTGTCGAAACAAGCTTCGGGCTCGGGGAGAGTCAAGCCTGCTTTAGCGCCAATGGAATTCAGCACCTCCTGAGCCTCCTCAGCAAGCTGTGGGTGTCCATAGTCAATCGCTTGGGTGAGTACCTCCGAAAGCTGTAAGGCTCTGCCTTGCATCTCTGCATTGATAAAGTGAGAGGCCACATGAGAATGTAGATGATCACTACAACCCGAGAGGGGGGCGAGCTTTTTGCTGGATAGGAGCTTCTCGTATGCGTCCCTCCGTCTCTGTGCTTCGCCTGTGCCGGCCTGCACTGCCGTGGCTTCCGTGTCCCGGCGAAACTGCTGATGCCATGAGTAATCAGGCCCCTCGGCAAGGTTTCCGAGCTCGTGCTCAAGTTGAGTAACAGGTCCCTGATAATCCTCTGGAACAGCCCAGCCAGCTTTTTCTTTAGCCTTGGCTTTGGGATGCGCCTTTGCTTTCCCTTGGGCGGTAGCACCAGGTTCCACCTTAGAGGCTTGTTCTTCTTTAGCTTGGGCTCGGAGCTGTGCGACTCTTCCATCAACCTCCTGGGGATTCACCTTCGGCCCGTTACGCAATCCTCCGCGCCGGAGCACCTGCATGGCAACTGTGTAGTCCAACTTGGAAAGCTTCGGCAATGGTTCGTGCGCGTTAGGACAGGCGCTCCGATGGCAGCCAATGTGACAAGCTGCATCCCAGCATATGGGCTTCTTGGTTTTCGGGCATTGTGGAGCATGCTGGATGGATCTCTTAACCTCGGCAGGACTAAGACGTTTCCCCGCGGGGTAAGCTTTCGAGACATCCCCGGCTTTGTTGGGGTCGGCTCTCAAGGCCAACCGAGGCGCGCGACCGGCCTTGTCTGTGTCCTCCACTTCCAGAGACGGACCGTCTGCGGGCGAGGGGTTCGAAGTCCCGGTAGGGCCTGCTGTCTTGCGATGATCTGGCCGTTTTTCCTTGGTGACGTGGTCATGCAACTGCTTGTTGAGCAGCCTTGCCATAGCCTTGTTCTGACGAGGCAGAACCACTCTCTGGTAGTAGCCGGCTGGATCAGCCAAGTCCCACACCCTCGGGAACTGGAAATTTGCTTGACCCGTGGCGCTGGGAGAAAGCGCTACAAGCTTGAAATCTTCCAAGCGGGGATTCTCGGTCCCCAACTTCGCGCAAAGACGTCGTCGGCTTTCTCGAATTTCTTCACACCATACAGCGGTCATCTCTTCAAAGAGCTGCACACAGTAAGTGAAGGGAAAAGCATTCTCATCCTCTTCGTGTGCTTCACGGAGAGCTTGTAAAAACTTGTTCCTCTCCTGGACGTGCTCGAGGCCGTATGCACTCCCAAACACCTTGATGGAGTTTTCCGCGTAGCGAAGCCACGTGAGGAAAGTCGTGGGAGCTTTACTGCGGGCTTCCAGCTTATGTTCGGTCGGTGGCGACCAGTTCTCGATTTGTTCAACTCTGGCCGTCGCACAATCAGCTGCCAGTAGTGTGAAACTCTCGGTCCCACCCCACCATAGGCCAGCTATGGACAAAGCCACTCGGTTGGTGATCAGGACTGGCCACTTTATCAGACCAAGCTCGTGCTTCGCGTGAAGCCCGGCCCGCTTGATGCTGTGGAATAGCTCCTTCCCGTAGACGCCCTTGCAGAGTTCGATCGATAGCTGACCGCATCCTCTGGCCAGAAACACGTCAAGCTTTTCCCCTTCTTTGATGGAGCTCACTTGCCCTTTGGTCCCCGTCTTATCTTCGTCTTGCGCCTTGCGAAGTCCATCAATGGCGTGGATAATCCGAGCAGTGGCCAAGGTGGGGTTGCTAGGGCCAAGTTGTTCTCCAAAAGCTGCCCCTGCCTTGCGCACAAGGCCCTGCCCAAGCCCAATGGACGGCTGCTGGAGCAGAGCCCCGGTAGCTGCACTCACAAGTCCGGAAGGCGCATCGTGTCCAGCTGTTGGGAAGAGACGGGCAACTGCATCAGGTAGTCCACCACTTGGAGTCAGCAGGTAATTTTCAGGCGGTGCCACCCTTGTTTGAACCAGGCTACCTTCCTGCGAGAGACCTGGCGGCAGTGGTGGCGGTGGCGCCTGAATTCCGGTCAGAGACGGTCGACTTTCCGCCCAGGCAAGGGGATCATTATAGTGGGCCCAGCCTCTTCCTCTTCTTCCCGGGTGCTTTCCAGTGCTCCCAGCACACTCATCTGGACGATTTCCGGTCCAATGTTGTAAGCACTGGCAACCAAAGCAATGGCTTCTCCAATAGAGGCCCCCTGGGTACGAGCATCCCGGAATGAATCATGCAAGGCGCCACTGTCGACCTCCTGTGGTGGTCCACCTTCCTGGGTGGTACACCGAGGAGCAACAGTCACAGATATTGATGGTGGTCTGGGGGGGTCCCAAATTCATCTCCCCCCCCTCCCGCGGTCTTAGTCAGAACCAAGCCCTCGTCATGTGGGAGGAGAACCAATCTCGGCTCCTTCACTAGTTGCCTGAGTTGTTCGGGTCTGAGGTTAGCGGAAGGTGCCTCTTTGGCGTTGACCTCTCTCCCTTCCCATTCCTTGAGCCACTCCCACGAATGTGGTGCGACCTGGCTAACCTGGATCGAGACCCCTCTCTCCTCAAGCTCTCTAGGAGCGGAGTACAAAAACTCCTGCAACCAGGTTCTAGGGTATCGGCCAGACTGATCGGTGATGGGCGGTTCGCCAAGGCAATGCCATGGCAAGCTCACACGCAGACCCAGGGCCGGGACCTTTACTGCAGCTCTTTCTGTGCGGCGGCTGTCTTCGGCAATACCCTCAACTTCCCCTAAAAAGAGGAACCAGTGGGTTTTGACCCCTGATCCAAAAAAAGGGTGTGAAGTCTTACCAAGACTGGTGCTCCAGCCTTTGGGTGCGCCAGCCTTTCGGCTCGAGATGGCTTTTCGTACTCAGAAGAAGTAAGCCTCTGATGTCCGATATCCGGGGAACTCGGTTCCTCGAACCGGACGGCTCGACTGGGTCCAGGCTCAAGACGAGTATCAGCCGATTGGCTCCTTCGAATAGAATGGAGGAGGGACTCCTCGGGCTTCCGTTTCGCCGTACCATGGGTAGGGGCGGGGCTGTTAGAGCGCCCGGTTTCCGCCAAGTGCCTGCTACACAAACGTGTCCCCTTGTGGGCCCCATGCACCTTGTTGAAACAGGAGACCACGCTGCACTTCCTCCCTTGACAAGACAGCATGTAAAGCTGGCTGTGGTGATTTACAAAGCCTGGCACATTCACGACCACCCAGATCAGAAAGCTGAAGATCATCAACCAACAGGCGAGTAGGCTCGGCCGCGGCTTTGTCATCACACCCCGATTAAAACAGCCTCGCATGGATCTGCAATCTGCTCAGCTTCGGACTCCGAGTCGGGATCTAAAGGGCGGATCACCCCTTGGTCTTGAATCTGGCGTGGAGCCTCAGTAGTTCTTCGGCGCGAACAGCACCCAAGGCAGCCGGAGAGCACTTTCCGGAACGAGCGAAGTCCACGCCAAAGAAGCACCAGAGCCCGCCAGCCGTCAAGGCGTCCGTAGGCTCCCAAGTCGATCACAGAATCGGCGTCGATGGCAGCAAACTCCTTGCAGTGGTAGACCCCGGGTTGAGCGCAGTCCTCAGCCCGGCAGAGATGAATTTGATCTGCTCGCTCCAGATGATCCCGAAGGGCACGAGCGGTGACACCCAGAATGCGACCAGGTTTTATCCACAGCCCATGTCGGTCGATTCGAGTGCGGTGTGTCCAATCCGGTTGCATTCGGACCGCTCCTTGAGGAAAACGGAGCACCAAGTCATGAGGCCGGCGCCCAGTTCCCCTCCCTCGAACCTGTCGTTGGAAGTACTCGGTGTTGACCGCTGTGGAGCTTCCCGGGCCGACCAATGTCACGGGGGCATAAGCAGCCGGAGCAGGGGTTACGGGTAGATGGCGTAGTGCCGGATCAACGACTTGAGTTCCATCCCGAGGTCCCGCTTTCTGCATCCGCAGCCGCAGCATAACCACTTCTCGCATGCCTTCAGTGACCAGACAAGCACTCGTGCCGAGGCACGAGGTACG